ATCTCTGCGTCCACGGAGTACCCATGTTGGAATAGACCCTTGAGTAGAGGGTTCATCCCGTCAAGCTGGATGCCTGCTACATGTCCGGGGCGGCTCAACGCGTCTGCCTTGTTGTATAGCCCGGGCTTGTAGACGATGTCGTAGTGGAAGTGAGTTTCCAGGAAGTCCACCCACCGCACCTGTCGTCGTGAGAGTGTCGGCTGTGACTTCAGGTATTTGAGACTGCAGTGGTCAGTATAGACTGTAGTCTTGGCTCCCTCTAGGTAACACCTCCACGCCTTGAAGGCTATGACTATCGCTAAGGCTTCCTTGTCGTGAATGGGGTAGTTTAGTTCTGCTCCGTGTAGCTTCTTACTGAGGTAGGTGATGGGCTGCAAACCGCGTCCGTGATCCTGCATCAGTACTGCTCCGACTGATTGGTCACTAGCGTCTGCTTCCACCACGTAGTCCTTGTCTGGATCCGGTAAGATGAGTACTGGCGCTGTAGTCAGTGCTGTCTGTAGCTGCTCCATGGCTTGCTGATGAAGGGTATCCCATTTGTAGGGCGTATCCTTTTTCAGTAGGTCGGTCAGTGGCGCTGCTATCTTAGCGTACTGCGGCACGAACCTGTTGTAGTAGTTGGCGAAGCCTAGGAACTGCTGTAACTCCTTCACGTTCTCTGGTACTTTCCACTTCTTGACGGCTTCGATCTTCCGTGGGTCCACGTGACGCCCTCGGCACTCACCATGTGCCCGAGAAACTGCACCTTCTTCAGGGCGAAGTCGCTCTTTGACAGCTTCACGTAGAACTTGTTTTTCCGTAGGATCTCGAACACCTTCCGCAGATGCTCCACGTGCTCCTTCATGTTCTTGGAGTAGATGAGAATGTCCTCCAGGTACACCACCACGCATTCGTCCAGCAGGGGTTGTAAGATGTGATTCATCTCCGCCTGAAACGTTGCTGGTGCGTTGCAGAGTCCGAACGGCATCACCAAGTATTCGTAGGAGCCGTATCTGGTACGGAACGCTGTCTTGTGGACGGAGTTGTCTGCCATCTTGATCTGCCAGTAGCCCTATCGTAGGTCCAGTTTCGAAAATACTGTTGCTCCACGCAGTTGATCGAGTAGGTCGTCTATGCGCGGTATGGGATATTTGTTTTTGACTGTCTGTTTGTTCAGTGCGCGGTAGTCGATGCACATCCGTAGACTACCGTCTGGTTTTGGAGTGAAGAGAACTGGTGCACCATAGGGAGAGGTGGATGGGCGGATCAGTTGTCTATCCAGTAGATACTCTATCTGTTTTTTCATGTCTGTCAGTTCAGTTGGACTCACTCGGTATGGTGCACGTGAGACGGGTTTCGCACCTGGTTCCTCCACGATCTCGTGCTCGTGGGTGCGTGTTGGAGATACGCCTGTGGGTAGGTCGTCGGGCATTTTATCCTTGTACTGCTCCAAGACCTCCTCCTCTGCTGCTGCCATAACCAGTGCTAAGTAACCCGTGTTACTCTCGTTCACTGTCCGTTCGAACCGTGCCAGTGTCGTTTCAGGAACGCTCCCTGTATCCGTCAAGCTTCGCAGCTTCCACTTGTTTCCCGTTGTTGTAGATGCACACCTTGCTGTTGACCCAATCGATCTCGGGGTTGAACTGCTTCAGGAAATCTCGCCCCAAGATAAAATCTAATCCCTTGATGTTCGTGATCGGCAACGTCGGCTTCCACCTCAACGCCCCTATCTGCAGCTGCAGTGTTGACTTTCCGTGGATGGGAAGCTTCGTACCGTCCACCATCGTTGCTGTAAACTGGGTTTCTTCTTAGGATTCTCCAATTTTCTCCAACGTCCCGTGGTCGCACACCGAGTGGGACGCACCACTGTCCACCAGGGTCTGGAGGCGACGCCCGTTGCAGATCACCTCGAGTACTAATGGTTGCTGCTGCTCCGAGTATCCGTAGATGGTATCGCTTATAGGATCGTAGGGTACGTCGAATATGTTATCCCTAGGTCCTGCGCTCAAAATGCAGCTTCAGTATCAGTTTTCAACTGAGAAAGGTTATAAGGATTTATCTGAGGCCGATTCGGCTTCTCTTGGGCCTGGAACCTTCCACTAAGCCTTTGCAGCTGTGTAGGCTTCATCTGTGGGGAACAGGGAGCCTTTAAACAGTGCTGCTAGGAGAGAATATTAACTCCTCGGAACGCTCGACCCGTATTAGCGCTCTGGAGTAGGGTCCCCATAATACCCGGTACCGGTTTAATTTCTGACTCTCCCTTAATAAAGGCTTGAAACCCACGAGAAGTAATATTCTTACTTGTCGGGGTATACGACAGGAGTTTCCCGGTTGGTGCAGGGTCTTGTTTCGCGGATCCTCCATTAGTGTCGGCGATTTCCCCTGGTGCCGGCTGGTCGTGACGTTTTAAATTTGCGCCACCATATTCTCCTTTTTTCGCCCTCTCCGAAGTTGCCACGTTGTCCGTTTTCTGCTTCGGGGGTGCCGCAATGTTCTTGTCCTTCAGCTCCGCACACCTTCTCTTCATTTTCCAACACGCCAAGATACGATGTCCTGTAGCGCCGCAAACTTTGCACGTCTCATTATTTGCTAGTCGCTGCTCCACATCGCCCTCGTCGTTCTCCATCGGGTCGGCAGTCGTGGGTGGTGCCAATCGCCCCATGCCACTAGTTGGCTTGTTGCGTCGTGTTCCGTAGTAGCTACTGTTCAACGTGTCGAACTGTTCGATCAGTGCTGCCGGAAACTGCGCCCACGTCCCCTCGCCTTGGACTATTCTGTTGTTGATCCACTCTAGAGCTGGGCCTCGTAACAGTGTTGCTGCGAGCCGTATGCGCATTGCGTCTTTTGTCGGGGTCGTGCATCTAACGGCTTCGAAGTAAATTTCGAGTTCAGCTACAAATCGACGAACGTCGTTCCTTTTTACTGTAGGATCGAACGCCTCCGGTAGCCTCAGCTTCACTGCTTCGAGGTTAACTGTAGCTGCTGCTGTTGTCGCATTTAGAATTGTCGGTGTAGCCGCTGCTGCTGCTGTGGCGGTTGCCGACTGGTTCGCAAGGAGTTTTTCGAGTCGTGGGAGCGCTGCACGTATTTGCTTATGCTCAGCACGTAACTCCGCGATTTTCTGTACTGAAATATCTCCTTTTCCCTCCATTTGGCGATTTACAGGAAGATGCGCGACGAAACTAATCGAATTCTAGGTGCTGGTCGACTTACTGCGAGTCAAATTGACTGTAGAATCGACGAGCGCGAATTCTGTAGGTTGCGTAAATCTCCCTTAGGCAAAATTCGCGTCCGATCTTGGCCGTTGAGGAGAAAATCGATCCGACGCTCCAAATTCCAACTTGTTTGGGCGAAATTCTCTGGGCCGTTGAGATGAAACTCGATCGAACGGTCGAAACTCCAACCTTTCCACCAGTAAATCTGAGGGGTGTTCGAAAACCGAATCGAGGGGGACTTAGAAAAAATTGCGCGGAACTGGTTTTACATACCCGTATCGGCGCTTTCGTCGTCGCCCCCGCGGTTTTTAAAGGCCGGAACTAAGCGGTTGAAGACCTCACGTGTAAACCCGCTCTGATTACCAAGTGTGAGGATCTGGGATCGAGCTCAGAAAAGATGATTCAAATTGAATTGAATTGAATTGAATGTCTTCACCTGGGTACAACACGAGGCTATATATAGGCTCGACACAGGGCCCCGTAACCAGGTGTTACGCGAAGGTTCCGCGGGCCGCGTAGCGTCCCGAACGGATCCTTACCGGATTCGGTAGAAGGCAATTCGGTGGCAACCGAAAAGCCAGAATTCGGTGCACGCAACCTAGCTCGGTGCTATTGTCAGAACATATCTATAGCTTATACTGCTGTGTAGGCTGTAGTGGGGTATCCCATAGGGGGTACAACCCAGTTAGGGTTTCATATTTGTACTGCTTTCATTCATAGTTCATTCATTCCTGTCTACCTATCTTCACATGGTATAGAGCGGGTCCCTCTTAAGGACCGATTTTTTTTGGGCCCACCCTCGATATTCTCTCTGCCCGGAGCGCCCTACTCTCCCCGAGGCGCGCTCCCCCCCTCCCCCCCTTAGTGCATTTCCCGCTGCCTTTGTGGGCCCCCCCGCGAGTAGCGCGCGAAATTTTTTTTTAGCGCGCGCGGCTCGGGCCCACGTCGCGCGGGCTTTACGGCCGCGCCGCGCCGCCCTCTCGGCCCGGCTGTGCCCCGCCGCCCTCGAATCGGCCACGCGGCCGCTTCGTCGCGGCCGCGGGCCCAGTTTTTTGACGGCCCCGCCGTCCCTTTTTTGACGGCCCGCCGCTGCATTCTGCCGGCCCCGCCGTTTCCTGTCACGGCCCCGCCGTCCCCTCTCCCGGCCTCGCCGCTGCACCTTCCCGGCCCGCCGCTGAGCCCTGACGGCCCGCCGCTGCACCTTTTGACGGCCCGCCGCTGCACCTTTTGACGGCCCGCCGCTGCACCCTGACGGCCCGCCGCTGTACCTGCTGACGGCCCGCCGCTGCACCCTGACGGCCCCGCTGCTGTACCTGCTGACGGCCCGCCGCTGCACCCTGACGGCCCCGCCACTACACACCCGGCCCCGCCGTCCCCTGTCCCGGCCCACCACTGCACCTGTCCCGGCCCACCGCTGCACCTGTCCCGGCCCGCCGCTGCACCTTTCCCGGCCCGCCACTGCACCTGTCCAGGCCCCGCCGCTGCACTGCAGCCGGCCCGCCCAGCAGCAGCCGAGCCGCCCAGCAGCAGCCGGACCGCCCAGCAGCAGCCGAGCCGCCCAGCAGCAGCCGGACCGCCCAGCCGCAGCCGAGCCGCCCAGTAGCAGCCGAGCCGCCCAGCAGCAGCCGGACCGCCCAGCAGCGGCCAACCGCCCAGCAGCACCCGAGCCGCCCCACAGCTGCCGAGCTGCCCGGGAGTCGATCCGCCTTTCTACTGAGCTGCACGACTTGCCCTGCCTGGTGAGCACAGTCCCTCTGTCACTGCGCCCTCTTTCCCTACTGCTTGCACTGCTTCGCTGTCGTCATCATGGCCACCCCTAGTGTCCTAGCCTTTGACGCCGAGGGTCGAGCCATTGATTTTGAGGTCTGGCTAGACGACCTGCAGCTTTTCTTACAGTGCGACAGAGCTGACAGCCTTTCTCTCTTTGACCTCACCTCTGGCGCCTCTCCTGCTCCTGCTGCCGATGCTGATCCCACTGTCCGCTCTCAGTGGGCCACCCGCGATGCTGCTGCACGTCTTGCTGTGCGTCGCCACCTCCCTACCTCTGAGCGTGCGCACTTTAGTCAGTACAAGAGTGCTCAGACCTTGTACGACGCTGTAGTTGCGCGCTACTCCTCCCCTGCCACTGCTGCACTGAGCCGTCTCATGCTTCCCTACCTCTTTCCTGACCTCTCTGTCTTTCCCACTGTCACTGACCTCATTACGCACCTCCGCACTAGTGACACTCGCTACCGCGCCGCCCTTCCTGCTGAGTTCTGCGCTAAGAACCCCCCCCCCATGTACATCACTCTCTACTACGTAGTCGCGCGCCTCCCTGACTCCCTCCGCGTAGTCAGGGACCACTTTCTAGCAGTCTGTCCCACCACTCTCACCGTCGACCTCCTCGAGAAGGCCCTCCTCGCAGCGGAGAAGAGCATAGTCGCTGTAGGTGCCTCTCGTGGTGACCCTCGCACCCCCATCTTTGAGGGGTGCTCTCCTTCCCCCTTGCTGCCCTCTGTTGCCTCTGCTGCTGCGGCCGACCTGCTTGGTCTTGAGTCGGTCGGCGCGGCATCTGCCCCTAGTGGGAGACGTCGCTCTAGCAAGGGCAAGGGGGGCAAGGGCGCGGGCGGAGCTGGAGGGGGCGGTGGCGGTGGCGGCGGAGGCGGCGGAGGGAGTGGGGGTGGTGGCGGGAGTAGTGGTGGTGGTGGTGGTGGTGGTGGCAGCAGCGGCGGAGACGGTAGTGGTAGTGCCAGCGGTGGTGGTGGAGGCAGCAGCGGGAGCGGAGGCGGTGGAGGTGGAGGCAGTGGAGGCGGCGGCGGAGGAGGCGGTGGTGGTGGAGGAGGTGGAGCTGGTCGTGGTGGTACCCAGCAGCGGAGCGGCGGTGGTGGTGCCCAGCGCTCGCAGCGGCAGCAGCAGCAGCGTTCGCGGGACATCCCTCCGCCTCAGCAGCTTCGTGAGTGGTACGCTGCGCGTCAGAGGGGTGGGGGTACTGGTCCCTGCGCCTACGTTCTTCGTTCCGGCGACCGCGCGGGTGAGCAGTGTGGGGGTGCCCACTCCACCCAGCGCTGCTTTGGCCGCCTCACGGACGCTTGGCGTCAGCAGTTCCCCGGGGCTAGTGAGATCCCTCGCTGGGATGAGCTCCTTAGGGCTGGTGTAGCGATCTTTGATCTTGATTTTGATGCTATCCTTTCTGCTATGTATGCTGTGACTTATAGTGAGGAGCATGAGGGTTACCGGTGTTTCCAGCCCGACCCGGGCATTGGTACTGCTGCGCTAGGTACTTGTGAGGCTGCTGCTCTAGGTGCCAGTGAGACTGCGCTCTCAGGTGCTGGTGAGACTGCGCTCTCAGGTACTGCGTCGCCTTCGTCCTCCCTCACTTTCACACTTGACTCTGGGGCTTCTCGCTCCTTCTTTCGAGACCGCACTACCCTTACGCCTCTTGGCCGGCCGGTTGCGGTCTCCCTTGCTGACCCCTCTGGGGGTCCTGTCCTGTCTCACTTCTCCACTGTCCTCCCGTGTCCGGCTGCCCCTTCGGGCACCCTGTCTGGTCTGTACCTTCCCTCGTTCTCTACGAACTTGGTGAGTGGTGCGGACCTACAGGATGCGGGGGTTCACCAGTTCACTCCTGCGAGGCGACGGGTGACCCACTGCACGGACGCAGACACAGGCCGACACCTGGCCACCTTTTCGCGTCGGCCAGGGTCGAGTCTCTACACCCTGACCACTTCGTCTCCTCCTGTCCCTGCGTCTGGTCAGGTAGCTGCGTCAGGTCAGGTGTTTGCTGCTGCTTCCAGGTCAGGTCCTGAGTCTGCCCCCTGTTCTTGTCGCCTCCTGTCTCACGAGACTCTCCTGTGGCACCACCGTCTTGGCCACCCCTCCTTGCCCCGTCTTCGGAGCATGGCTTCCCGTGTCCTTGTCTCTGGTCTTCCCCAGTCTCTCCCTCCTCTCCCCTCCGGGCCAGGACCTTCCTGTGTCCCCTGTGTCGAGGGTCGCCTCCGAGCTACTCCTCACTCCTCCCACTTCCCCCCGACAGAGGCTCCCCTGCAGACGCTTCACATGGATGTGTGGGGCCCAGCCCCCGTCCGTGGGCAGGGTTACGAGCGCTACTTCCTGTTGGTGGTTGACGACTACTCGCGTTACACCACAGTCCTCCCCTTGCGCAGCAAGGGTGCGGTCACTGAGGTGCTGATCGACTGGATCCGCGAGGCTCGTCTCCAGCTCAGGAAGAGCTTCGGCTCGGACTTTCCTGTTCTGCGTCTGCACTCTGACAGAGGCGGAGAGTTCTCTTCTCGCCTTCTGCGAGACTACTGTCGTGCACGGGGGATCCGCCAGACCTTCACGCTTCCGGACTCACCACAGCAAAATGGGATTGCTGAGCGCCGCATTGGCATGGTCATGGATGTCGCTCGTACGTCCATGATGCATGCGGCTGCCCCCCATTTTCTGTGGCCGTTTGCTGTGAGGTACGCGGCGCATCAGCTCAACCTTCACCCCCGGGTCTCTCGGCCTGCGATGTCCCCAGTCTTGCTGTGGACAGGGAAGGTTGGCGATGCGTCTGTGTTCCGTGTCTGGGGATCTCGGGCGTTTGTCCGCGACTTGTCTGCCGACAAGCTGTCCCCCCGTGCTGCTCCCTGTGTCTTCCTTGGCTTCCCCACTGACGCCCCAGGGTGGCAGTTTTACCACCCCTCCTCTCGTCGTGTTCTGTCCTCCCAGGACGTCACGTTCGACGAGTCAGTCCCCTTCTACCGTCTCTTCCCCTACCGCACTCCTTCCCTCCCCCCTCCCCCGGACTTCCTTGTGCCGGTTCCCCCCCCGGTAGACCCCCTCCCCCCTCAGGTTCCTGCCCCCTCAGGTGTGTCCCAGGTAGACGCCGTTGACCCGGTCGAGGTTACTGGTGACTCTGGTGCTGCTGCGGGTGCTGAGCCTGGGGGTGCTGACTCTGGGGGTGCTGTGCGCGGGGGTGCTGAGCCTGGGGGTGCTACTGCTGGGGGTGCTGGGCCTGAGGGTGCTACTGCGGAGGGTGCGGAGCCTGGGGGTGCTGAGCCGGGGGGTGCTGTGCCTGGAGGTGCTGGGTCTGGGGGTGCTGGTTCGGGAGCTGCTGAGCCTGGGGGTGCTGAGCTGGGAGCTGCTGAGCCTGGGGGTGCTGCGTCTGGAGCTGCTGAGCCTGGGGTTTCTCCTGCTGCTGCGTCTCGCCGGGAGCCCCTCTCTCCACAGGAGCTGCGCGAGTGGTTCGCTCGCCGCTGGAGGCGTGCTGCTGAGTCTGGAGGTGCTGCTGGAGCTGGAGCTGGAGCTTCTTCGACCGTCGAGGGTGCGGGTGCAGCCGGTCCCGGAGCTGCTGGCCCTGCAGGTCCTCCTGGAGCTGGAGCTGCTGAGGGCGTTCGTGCTGAGCCTGCTGCTGTTGGTCCTGCCGCTGGAGGTGTGGGTGGCGCTGGTGCTGTCGCTGAGGGTGCTGGTGCTGTCCCTGCTGAGTCTGGAGCTGCCGCGCGGCCTCGGCCGTACTTCGTTCCGCTCCTTCAGCAGGTTCTTGGTCTTTCTCCTCCAGTAGAGGGTCCACCGCCTGTCCAGTCGCAGCCCCTACTGGAGCCTTCCTCTCCACTGCCTGCTCCCTCTCCTTACACTGGTCCTACTGGAGGTCTTGCTGAGCGTCGTGAGCCTGCGTCTCGTCCCGCGTCGCCTGTTCGTGCTGCTCGCGCTAGTGGTCGCAGTTCGCGTCAGCGTCCTCCTCCTGTCCCTGGCACGCACCGGATGTCTTTACGTCCGTCCACTGCTCCTCTGCGTGCCCCTTTGCCTTCTCCTCCTGAGTCCTCTCTTCCTGCGCTTGCGGACCCTGAGTCGGACTCTCTTCGTGCTGCCAGTCCCACTGTCACGCGTCTGCTTGCTACTGTCGTCACTGACCCCTCTTTTGAGTCCACTGCTGCGTCTGCTCTAGTCGCTGAGCTCGTCGACTTTGCTGCTCGCTGTCGTCTCGACTACGCTGCTAGTCTTGTTGCTGAGTCTGCGTCTGTCTGTCCTCCGTCCGTCGGGGGTGAGTGTGCTCTTGGCACGGACGTCCTAGAGGACAGGCAGGAGGAGTTACAGTGTCTAGCGGCTGCTTCACCTCATCTCGCGTCTGTACTGCTTGCCCCTGAGGGAGACCCGGATGCACTAGACATCCCGACTCCGCGTTCTTACGCGGAGGCCGTAGAGGGTCCCTACTCCTCTCAGTGGCAGGCAGCTATGGATGCAGAGATGGCTTCCTGGAAGTCCACAGGCACCTACGTTGACGCGGTTCCCCCTCCTGGGGCGAACATCGTCAGTGGCATGTGGATCTTCAGGGTGAAGCGGCCGCCGGGCTCTCCACCTGTCTTCAAGGCACGGTACGTTGCTCGTGGCTTCAGTCAGCGGCAGGGAGTTGACTACTTTCAGACCTTCTCTCCCACCCCGAAGATGACTACTCTTCGGGTGCTGCTGCACATAGCCGCTCAGCGCGACTACGAGCTTCACTCTCTCGACTTCAGCACTGCGTTCTTGCAGGGTAGCCTGCACGAGGAGATCTGGCTTCGCCGTCCACCTGGCTTCACTGGGACTTTCCCTCCTGGCACCCAGTGGAGCCTCCGACGGCCAGTCTACGGTCTCCGCCAGGCACCGCGTGAGTGGCACGACACACTGAGGACTACGCTTGCGGCTCTTGGGTTTGCTCCTTCTACTGCTGACCCGTCGCTGTTTCTTCGCACCGACACTTCCTTGCCGCCGTTCTACATCCTCGTGTACGTCGACGACCTGGTCTTTGCCACAGCGGACACTGCTGGACTCGCCTACGTGAAGTCCGAGCTGTTGAAGAGACACACGTGCACAGACCTGGGTGAACTGCGCAGCTATCTTGGCTTGCAGATCACTCGGGACAGAGCACGCCGCACCATTACCTTGACTCAGTCACACATGGTGCAGCAGGTCCTTCAGCGCTTCGGCTTCACGTACTCCTCGCCTCAGGCCACTCCTCTGCCTACTCGCCACTCACTCTCAGCTCTGCCTTCGGATGAGTCCGTAGAGTCGAGTGGTCCGTATGCGGAGCTTGTTGGCTGCCTCATGTACCTGATGACCTGCACACGACCTGACCTTGCATACCCTCTGAGCATTCTTGCACGCTATGTTGCTCCTGGGAGACACAGACCGGAGCACATGGCTGCAGCGAAGAGGGTATTGCGCTACCTGTGCAGTACGTCAGGCATGGGGCTAGTGCTTGGAGGGCGGAGTCCAGTGGTCCTTACCGGCCACGCGGACGCTTCTTGGGCTGACGACCAGGCTACGCAGCGGTCGTCACAGGGTTACACCTTCAGCCTTGGTTCCGGCTCTGTCTCGTGGCGGTCTACTCGCTCGTCTTCGGTTCTCGGCTCCAGTTGTGAGGCTGAGATCTACGCCGGGGCCATGGCTGCACAGGAGCTTCGCTGGCTCACCTACCTGCTGACTGACCTTGGAGAGCCGCCTCGTTCTCCTCCAGTGCTGTACGTAGACAACAAGGCTATGCTGGCCTTGTGTCGAGAGCAGCGCTTGGAGCACAGAACGAAGCACATTGCTCTCCGCTACTTCCTTGCTCGTGAGCTGCAGCAGCGTGGTCAGTTGCGACTTGCGTACGTGGCCTCTGAGGCCAACACTGCTGATGTGTTCACCAAGGCACTTGCGCCTTGTGACCATCAGCGCTTCTGCACCCAGCTGGGTCTTGTGCCTGTCTTGCCTCACTTGCTCTCCTCTTGACTTCACTTGTACTGTGACATATATATATACCTGCCCTTGCTTGTCTAGCTTTATATATATGTCTGTACTCTTGCTTGTGAACTGGCCTTTGGCCTTGCTCTTGTGCTCGGACTGTGTGGTGACTTTGTGATCCACCCTGAGCTTTGCTTTGTCTTGCTTGACTGGTCTTGTGACCCCTTGTTCTCCCCCACTTTGCCTATGGGGGTGTGTCAGAACATATCTATAGCTTATACTGCTGTGTAGGCTGTAGTGGGGTATCCCATAGGGGGTACAACCCAGTTAGGGTTTCATATTTGTACTGCTTTCATTCATAGTTCATTCATTCCTGTCTACCTATCTTCACAGCTATAACTATAATAAAATATAGGAAAGCACCTAGCCTAGGAAATCAAGCAATTCATGCTTGTATATAATTATCCTATGCTAGAAATAGCATGATAAAGTAAAGGCAAGCAAGCATAGCTGGCATAAGCCGTCGTACTCTCACAATAAATTTCCCGCGCGATTTCCGCGTGTACATTTCGAGGTCGTGCGGCAGCTGAGTGAAGCCGAGCTCAAGGAGGACGGAATGGAGGTACTGCTGCCACAGACGAGGTGCCTGCTTGATTTCGTAGAGGGATTTTTGGAGGAGGCACACAGCGCCATCGCTTTCTTCGAATGCGTGCGGCTGCTCGACAAAAATTATGGCATCGACGGGGGCGTATAGGAAGGCACTGCCGACGTCGATTTGCCAGAGCGGTCGGTGTTTGATGGCGGCGATGCATAGAAGAATCCGCACCGAGGTGTGGCGGCCGACTGGAGCGTTGGTGAGAGTGAAATCTACCAGGTGCGTTTTTTCAAATCCCCGTACCACCCAACGCGCCTTGTACTTGTCGACCGAGCCATCGGCGAGAGTTTTGATGCGGAAAACCCATTTTCCGCTGAGAATTTTTCTCCCCTTTGCCGATGACCGAGGAACTAGCTTCGAGGTGCCACGTTTCTTCAGCGACGCGATTTCAGTGGCCATGGCTGCTCTCCATTTTTCAGTGTCGGGGCTAGACAGGGCTTGGCGGACTGTGGTTGGTTTCTTGGGCGAGGTGTGGCGAACAGCGACGGCAAGGCCGAGAACGCGGAGACCGGATTCGTTAGTCTTTTCGTAGTGAAGTCGGTTGTAGTCATGGAAGCTGCTAACTTCCACCACGTTGTCATCACTGTCGTTGCCGGGGTATAGGGTATCCTGCGACCTGTTGGGTTGTGGTAACTCGGCGTCAGGCGATCGGCGCGCCTCACTGTTGTAGTCATGAGCCTCGCGTGTTATATCGTTAGGATCGGGTTGGTGTAGCGGTACGAATATCGGAGTCCCGAATTGGCTTGTGAGGGGGATGCTCGGAGCGGAGTCCATACGGGTGATATCAGGTGCGTCTGCATCCTCGGCCAGGTCAGCTTCGTCGTGTGACGTGGCGAAGTTGCGGTGGCCCTCGAAGAGCCTCTCGGGCAGTTTGTCGGCTTCCTGGTGCTCCTTGAAAAGGGGCAGAGTCAGCTTCTCGTAGAAGATGCAGTCTCGTGATTTCATCACCTCGTGTATCACGTAGTCCAACACAATCCACGCCTTGAATTCCTTTTCGATCCCGAGGTGGATGCCCCATCGTGCCCGGTCAGCAAATTTTCCGGTTCTCATAGTGTGGGGTCTGTACTGTACCATGCAGCCAAACACCTGAAGCAGGTGTGCATCTGCTTTTCTGCCCGTCCATGCCCGGTAGGGAGAGTTGTTGTTCTCGAGGCTTCGCGAGGACAGCAAGTTGTGCAGCCGAACAACGTGATTCATCGCAAACGGCCAATATTTTGTTGGGATGGCTGACTGCTTCATCAGAGCCCTCATCCACGTGGCGAGGCTTCTGTTTGTCCGTTCTGCTACTCCTTGCTGTTGGTGAGCGTAGGGCAGGGACACCAGGTGCTCAATCCCCTTCTGCTTGAGGAGCTCCTTGAACTCGTCTGAGAAGAACTCCAGGGCTCCGACCGTCTGCCAGGTTTTGAGTTTGAGAGCGGACTGTCGCTCAGCCCGCTTCATCCACCCAATGAAGCACTCGAAGGCCAGAGACCTGCTGTCGGTGTTGACGGCCCAGACGTAGCGCGTAGATGTGTTGATGAAAGTAAGTGTGTACTGCTCCCCGTCGAGCCCCTCCTGGCTGAGCACCATAAAATCGCTGTAAACCTTGTCAAGCGGCTTGTAGCATTCATACCCTGGGGGCAAATCGGGGAACGGCTGGTGATTGAGCGACGCGGTTGGGCACACGATGCACGGTGGGTTAGGTGAGTCCGCGGTGAGGGAACCGTTTCGAAGGAGGAACGCGTCGTTGTCGAAGACTCCAACCTTGAGCGAGTTTTTGAGCATGGACTGGGAGGGATGGCCGAGCCGTTGGTGCCATGTTCCTGGGTTCGCACAGTAACGGACCGTCTTCTGATAATATTTTTGTCGCGCTGCTTCGTCGTTTGCCTCCCCTTCAGGGCCTGCGTCGGTGGCGTTGTCGGTATCGGCGGCGAGCGCACGAATTGCCTTTCGCTCCAGAAGCGCGCGGGGACTACCGATGACGTCGTCGGTGTCGCCGGCTTCGACTTGGTCTCCGGTGACGAGCAGGCACTGGTTGGGCCACTCCCGAACTGGGAGTCCCATCATGGGGATTCTGAAATATCTGTATTCAGCGCCAATGACCTCAATTTCTTATGGTCCTTGTACTGGCGGCTCCGGCTCTTCGGTGGGTTCACGTTGTAGGTCTCTTCTTCGTTTGACTCTTCTGGCATTGGCTCGGGTGTATCAGGGGCGTATTGATTTGGGAGAGGTGGACCCCCCCAGCAGGTGCCGCGGGTTGCCCAGTATGGGTCGACGACGGCGACTTCCGCAGGAGGAAAACCAGCTGCTTCCGCGTGCCTTTGTTCTGCTTCGGCCGAGGTGCCCCATCCTCCTTCGGCGCCCCGTGTGACTTCAGATGTCTCTGCTTCTCCGACTGCTTCTCCTGCTGTTGTGCCAGCTTCCTCTGCTAGGGCACGGGAAGTCCCCCAGCCGGTCGCACCAACTTCTTGCGTTGGAACGGCGTCCCACCCGCTTGCTGCTGCTTCTTCTGAAGTTAAAATTTCTCCCCGGGATCCGAGCGCGGGCTCGGAAGTGTTCCAGCCCGTCCAGCGTGTCTCCGCCGTCTTGTTTTCTTCGGTTGCAGGTTTTGACGTGCCGCTGTCTTCTTCCATCATGGCAGGTCCGGTTTCTGCAGGGTTGGAGGTCGAGGCAGTCAAGACTGTGCGCAAGCGCAGGAGGCCGTCGGAGGCAGGTTGCTCGAGATCCATCTCGTCGGGATGTGACCATGTTAGTGGTTCTGTGGGAGTTGTTTTCAGTAGCAGTGTGCGGTGGGAATCGGCGGTGGTGCCCTGAGCTGAAAATTGCAGCACGAAGACTCCATCGTCATCGATCGCCTTTCCGATGTAAGTTTCTTTGTGGAAGAGCTCGAAGGTCTTCTCCTTTCGATTGCTGCGAATATCAATTCCGCACCGCATGAGTTGCGCTGACGAGAGTAAATTGTATTGTAGGTCAGGTGCGACGAGGACGTCTCCGATGTGAATGGTGAACTTCGTGTCATTGGCCTCAAGGTAGATTTTGCCAATCTCATATGCCTTCATTTTTCTGTTGTTGGCGGTGGTGATTTCGCAGGGCCGTCGCATACGCCATGAGTTGCTGATAAACTTTGGCGATCCCACCATTTGTTGCCCGCAGCAACTGTCGAGGTACCACATGTCCAAATCCTCGTAGCACTGACGGGCGAGGTTGGCGATCTTGGGTGTGATGATGCGATCAAGGTCGCCGGTGTACGGTGAGAGGGCGAAATAATTGTTTGCAGAAATGCTCGGCGGCGATTTCGGAGTAGGAGGGGGGAGCTCGAAGTCAGGAGGAATGTCTGAGGGGCGAGAGGACCAGGTGAAGACTGTTGGATCATTGCCTGTGCTGGGCGCAACGGGGTTGATGGGACCGTCGCGAGCGAATGTTACTCGATCCCAGTAACGGAACCCTCTGTTGCGGCGAGCCATGCAGCTTATGATTGTCCCTTTTCCTTTGTCCTTCGCCGTGATGAGTGCAGGAGATTGAGAAGTGCTGGCGACGGAAGGAGGCGACATAGTGGCGGAGGGCTTTGTTTGTGCCAATGGTTGTTGGTTGGAGGCGTTGCATCGCTCATCAGCGGCTTGTCGCTTGTAGCACTGGCCGATAGAGTGGCCAGACTTCTTGCAGTATTTGCAGAAAGCTCCCTTTTTTCCGCGTTGCTCCCCTTGTGATGCTCATGTGTAGAAGACTAATTTCTCTCGTTTGACATTCTTCTCGTTGTACAGGTCGATCTCCTTCTGCTCCGAAAGAAGCGTGGCGCACAGAGCCGACTCCGATATGGTTGCTCGGGCGCGAAGGAGTGACTTGCACTGTCGCTAGTCGGGGCCGAGGCCAGAGATGACCATCGAGATGAACATGTCGTCGAGGACAGTCCCACCGCATTTCTTAACTTGGTCGCGCAGATTGCGGCACCGGTTGACATACGGTCCCGCTTTCTCCCCTTGCTTCATTTTAACCGATGTTAGCTGGCTGAGCGGACGACTCATCGTAACTCGATCTGCTGCCATGTATGAGTTGCGCAGGTGTTCCCAAGACGCGTGCGCGGGAGCCCACTCCGTCTTGTAAGGACGAATGCCAAGCTGTTCTTCAGGTGAGAGGTTGCGAAGGAGAGCGGTGTACGCGAGGAGTGATTCGTGGTAGTATTGATGCTTCTCTAATTGGGTTGTACCCCCTATGGGATACCCCACTACAGCCTACACAAAAGCATAAGCTATAATGTTCTGACACACCCCCATAGGCAAAGTGGGGGAGAACAGGGGGTCACAAGACCAGTCAAGCAAAGCAAATCAAAGCAAAGCTCAGGGTGGATCACAAAGTCACCACACATTCTGAGCACAAGTACAAGGCCACAAGGCCAGTTCACATGCAGGAGTACACA